TATATATTAAGAACTTATAATTTAACAAAAGGTAACAGACAAAACACATTAAAAGAAATAATTCATAGACTGGAAAAAAAGCATTTTACTTTTATTAGTAATTGTATTATTTCCATCTTTACATGTTATAGTAATGATTCATTTGACTAGAGATTAGGCTCAACCATCAAAACACCCATAAAAAATGAAAAAGGCCTTTGAGTTGATATTTTTTTAAATAACAAAAATTAGATCACTTGAAAATAAGGACCTGCACCTATATAAAGAAAAACTTGGTTAACGTAAAAATATTGGTTAACTTGAAAACACATAATGAATATGAAATGAATAAAAACTTTGTTTTGATAGATAAAATCATGTCCTTTTAAGGCAATGAGGTGAAATTTTTTAAATGAACAAACATTGCAGTTAACCGTCCCTCTTGTGTTCCCACCTAAACAAATTGCCTAAACTCCAAAATTTATCAAATGAGACACAGAGAGATATAAAAGCTGAAGAAAGGAAAGGGGAGATAGGTTGCTCACCTGACAGTTCCATGTCCTTCACCCTTATACCTCCATAGAGAAGTAAACAAAATGATAGTCTGAAAAACATAACATGAAAGGAACTAGGGATGTTTCACCTGAGAAAAAGACAACTAAAACAAAAGCCATTATCTCGGTCTTCAAATATTTAAAGGGCTAGCTTATAAAAGAGGATTTTATTTGGAACACTGAGTGTAAATTCCAGAAGGGCAGATTTTAAGTTCTGTGGTAGTTCAGTTTGTGTGTCAACTTGGCTGGGCCTGGTTGAGTGGCTGGGCAGCTGGTGGTAGTTATTCCCCATGATGAGACTGGCAATCAGCTCCATGGTGGGATCTCCCACAAGCAGCTAAGTAGCTGCCTTTGGGATGTGGTCTGCTTCCTGTATATAAGGAGAAGCCTTGGGAATGGTCTCTAGTTTATGGCACGCTTGGACCTGTGTGTAGCCATGTCATTGTTCAGCAGCCTGCCATGCTCTGCCGACCTTGGGACTTTACAATAGATTTGAATTAATGGCGTGCTGTGTGATTTGGTAATATCAGACTGTGCCTTGTTACTTGCCAACCTTGGGCTTGGCAGCCTCAGCAGCCAGCAGCTGTCTGAGTGAAGAAAAGCCTCTAGCTTCAGTGGGCTGGGAGCTGGAGGCAGAGCTGAAGCCCAAGGCTGAGGGGCTTTCACCCAGCCCCTAGAGTTTGACACTTTGAACTTGGACTTAAAGCCTCCAAATTGTTAAGAATAAACTCCTGTTTGTTAAGGCCATCCCATTGTGATATGTTTCTTGTCAGAGTGGCACTAGGTAACAATAACAAGTTCACATTTGAAAAAAAAAAAAAAAAAACTTTTGTAACTTAGAGTCATAGTCTTAATCTAGAGGAACAAAACCACCAAAGTGCACACACACACGCACACACACATACCAAAAACAAAACCAAACTCACTGCCATCGAGTCAGTTTGACTCATAGTGACCCCTCCTTGGGTTTCGGAGGTGGTATCTCTACAGAAGTAGATTGCCCAGTCTTCCTTCTGAGGGGTGGCTGGTGGGTTTGAACCGCCATCCTTCTGGTTAGCAGTCAAATGCCTTAGGCACTATGCCACCAGAGCTCCTATAAGTATATGTACAGAGAGATTTATTTAAAGGAAATGGCTCACACAGTTGTGGAGGCTGTTAAGTCCCAAACCTGTGGGTCAAGCATCAGGCTGGAGGCTTCTCCTCCTTGGTCGCAAGGGATAACAGACCCAAAATCATTTATATCAGATGGCAGGCTTCTGGCTCACAGGTCTGCAGGAGCTTGCCAATTCCAAAATCTACAGGTCAGGTGGCAGGCTGCTGGCTCACAGCCCAAAATACTGAAGGTCAAATGCAAGATCGAGTGGGAGAAGGAGTTTTCCCAGAACATCCATAAATATTAGATGCAGGCCACAGCCTCAAGGAAACTGCCGGTACTTCAGAACACAAAAGTAGAGCATAATTATATAATACTGAGAATCATGGTCTAGCCAAGTTGATACATAACATTAACCATCACACTTCACCTCTTGTCAACTGGGCACTTGGCACATCTTCTTAAATCACACACAGTCTCTTAATAAAGACAATTATGAAGTCATACCTGTGCCCAACTTGATACAATTAATGTGTACAACCAAAAATGCCCTAGCCCCATTTACATCTTACATTTTATAAGTCACACGATAAGGGAGGGAAGAAAACAAAAATGTTTGCTGTACACACAACACACACACACACACACAAACATACAGTCAAGTATTTCTTAACATCCACGGTATGTTTCATGAAATAGGACATTATGTGATTTGGATATTGTGTGAACACTGTATCATAGTCTAGGTCTGCCTTTTATTTAAGTATCTCAAGCAAAGTTTGTACCTTGGCAGTGATCATCAATGTGCTGAGAGGGATTTGCTTTTGTGGTACATCTTTGACCAATGTCATTAGTAATTTCTTTGTAATTAGTAATCCCAAACCTAGGATTTACAAACTGCTACCAGCTCTTTAATTTTATGTAAATTTGCCCTCACTTGGAAACAATTTAACCAAACCCTACTGGCAACAAATTCTCCATCACAATCACCTTCACTTGGGTTACCTGCATCTTTTCATTTCATTGAAAAGGCTTTGAGTCTTTTCTTGTGCTGAAATAAGTCTAAATACGAATGGTATGCAGCTGTTCGGACTCACCTACAAATTCCACTTAAAGACACAGCCAGAACTGATCTTGTTCATAACCCACGGACTGCCTGTACTTATCATCTCAGGAAATTTTTAAGAAAAAGGTTGCTGCATGGAGAACTGTATAGGAGATATCTTCTTGGCACTGATCAAGACTCTGCCAGCCAGATTAAAAATCTAACTGTTACAAATGTTTATTTTCTACTTTAATTTTTCAATGTTATAATAAATTGATCAAAAAAGCATATATAGACAAGTATGTTACATATTACCAAAGTGTTTTCTTCCTGTATTTGGCTTTTAGTTATTCAGTGTCTCTTTTTCATTGTTTCCTGCCTCTATACGATTTACTGCTACATACTAAAATTATGAAGATAGTTAACACATGTGGCTTTCCTTGAGGAACACATTATATGGTGGCAGAGAAGCAGAGCCTTGAATATTCACCCCTGTTACCAGCTCAGTGTAACAAATACTAAATGAGAGGCCTGTCGTAAGTAGTCTAGATCCATAGGAGGCCTAATTCTGCATAGAGGAATCTAAGGGTTCTCAGAGGAGGTTATATCTGATTGGAATTGGAAGACAATTTTATATGAGGAGAAGAACATAGACAAATCATAAAGTTGGAAACAACATGAAGCCTTAGGGATCTGAAAGTAGATCCATCAGGTTAAGTATCTGTAAGGGATGGCAAGAGATGAAATCGGAATTGTAAGCAGAGGCCAGATCAAGAACTGGTTTAGATGTGTTCTTTTCTCCTATAGAAAATGAGCAATTGAAAGATTCTAAGCAAATGAATGATGCAACCTGATTTGCATTTGGGAAGGTTACTACATTGACAGTGTGGAAACTAGAATCAAAATGAAGAAACCAGTTTGTTTGGACACTGCTACAGTGGCCTTGGCAAGAAATGATGAAAAACTAAACTACGATAGTGGCAGTGATGGATAGAGAAAAAGGGTTAGATTTAAACACCTGTTTTGAGAAATAGAATTAAAAAGCCCCCATGATCATTGATATGAGAAAGGGAGGAGTCTGGTTTACTTCTCAAAGTTATCACTTTGGGTTTTGAGTAAAGTGTTAGTTCTGGCAGATAGGGCAGGTAAGGAGAAGCAGCAGGTTTGAAGGGAAAGATCTTGAATTTAGCTTTACAACTGGTAAGTTTGAGTAACTCTTACTCACCTTAGATGGAGTAGTCTAATAGCAGCTGGAAAATCTAATGTAGAACTTAGTAGTGAGACATGGGCTGAAGATGGAGTTGAGAGCAGGGCTTGGTCTGATTCGAACCAGTTCAGTCATGGGTGAGGAAGGAAAACTGGAACAGACTCACATTTTTTTTAAGATTTGGGTGATTTGGGCACCGCTGTTTCACTCACCCAAACTATTTGGTTGCTATGCAACACCAAAGCAGCCCTTGTTTTCCAGGAGGGAAATGAAGTTTCTAGCAGGACTTTGACCAGTAATTTTTCCTGTTTCGGTTAACATTGCAGTTTACCGACATTTTAAAAATTGAGGTCCATTGTAGTCTTGCTGCTTCAGCCATGACTGAACTGGGCTTAACTGGTTTGAAGCCCTGGTTGGAAGTAACTGGTATAGACAAGACAGATGAAACTGTGGGATGGGAGAGGAGATAGAAGCCGTTAGAAAGAGTGAGGAAGCAAAGATATATAAAAGGAAGTTGGAGAAGTCCTTATAATTTCTTACACCTGTTAGTGGTACACAAGAATAACTATGCAGGTTTGTAAGTTTAAAAAAAAAATTGTTGTTGTTGTTGTTATGTGCCGTCGAGTCGGCCCTGACTCATAGCGACCTCTCCTTGGGTTTCCGAGGCAGTATCACTACGGAAGTAGGATTGCCCAGCCTTTCTTCCGAGGAGTGGCTGGTGGGTTTGAACCGCCAGCCGTCTGGTTAGCAGGCAAGTGTCTTAGCCACTATGCTACCAGAGCTCCCCCCCACCAAAAAATAAGGTTTTTAAATTTTACTTTGACCAATTTTAAATGCATCTGTAATTTTTAAATAAAATTATAATAAAGATTTTGCCAAAATTCTGAAATGTTTCTATGATCTAAGAATATTTTGGATTTTTTGTATCATTAATTGAATATGTGTTTGGCTTGGACTTTTTTTTTGCTTTTCATTTGCATTTTATTTTAATTTTCTTTGTTCTTCATGAAGTTGACTATGTTGGCTTTGACTCTGACGAATGCAAATTTATGATATTGTTCAAAGAAATCATACTTTAAGTGTAAGAGCTTATACCCTCTTTATGTTCTTTGTTTATATAAGGAAATGCAACTTCACCACAAGTACAAAGACCATCTTTCATGGACTACTTTGATAAACAGGACTTCAAGAACAAGAGTCATGAAAACTGTAATCAAAACATGCATGAACCCTTCCCTATGTCCAAAAATGTTTTTCCTGATAACTGGAAAGTTCCTCAAGATGGAGACTATGACTTTGTAAGTACATTTTAACTCTCAGATATGTTTTATCCTTCTTTATTTTGTTGTCATATTGATAAGCATAGAACGTATGTGTATGTGTTTATATAAAATTATAGACTGCGTATTATTTATAGACAGGTGTGTGGGGAGGGGGATGGTGGAAATTGTGATTTTCTTATAGAAATATGCTTGCAGAGAAATGTAAGTAATTGCTTTTATAATTAAATTATAGCCCGGATTTAGAGACAGTGCTCTGTAAAGTTAAAATGACAATTTATTTTCAAAAGATGTTTTTGATAATGCTAATATGGAGCTCTGGTGGCATAGTGCCTAAGGCACTTGACTGCTAACCAAAAGGCTGGCGGTTCAAACCCACCAGCCTCTCCTCAGAAGGAGGGCTGGGCAATCTACTTCCGTAGTGATACTGCCTTGGAAACCCAAGGAGAAGTCACTATGAGTCAAGGCCCACTTGATGACACATAACAACCGCAGCAACAACAACAATATGAGATACCTTGGACAGTCAGCTCAGTTACCAAAATAAATGATGAGAATGTATTTATGACATGTTGTTGTTGTTGTTGTTGTTTGCCGTCGAGTCGGCCCCAACTCATAGTGACCCCTCCTTGCGTTTCCGAGGCAGTATCACTACGGAAGTAGGATTGCCCAACCTTCCTTCCGAGGAGTGGCTGGTGGGTTTGAACCGCCAGCCTTCTGGTGAGCAGTCAAGTGCCTTAGGCACTGTGCTACCAGGGGTCCTATTTATGACATAGACTTTGAAAAATTTTTCTCAACTTTGAAAGTTCACTGAATTACTTTCTACTTAAGTGTTAATTCCACTTGGTTTGTTAGAAATAATACTTTTATTTTATGTCTACTTAACATATAAGCTTCAGTTTTATAAAACTGTGCTTTAATAGCCTAGTTTATTGCATTTTCTCTTTATTCCTTCTTCCCTGCTCTTTATTATTTATTTCTTTTAAGGAATGTATAGAATACAAATGAATGATTCTGGAGCAACTATTTCCAGAAGTTGAAAGAATACATTTGCAAACTGAGTTTTTTAATGGAGTAAATGACCTTAGTGTAAATTTTGGCTTTAGCAGGCTTTTAATAATAATATGTTACGTTTGCATATTGTTCTTTAGGTTTTTTTCATATAGGATAACTACAGCCTTTTATAGGTATATTTATTTACAAATACATTTATTTGTAAGTATATAAAATTTTAGATGTATATATTTCTTTACAATTTCTAAATAATCTTAAACCATTTTGCTTAGATGCTTAGATAGTATGCCTCTAAGTGCTTTTAGGTTTTAAATATTTTTAATTTTAAGTATGTTTCTCAATATTGAGATTATTTGAGTTTATGTGATTAAAATAATCACATAATTAAGTTTCACAATATATCCTCAATAGATTGGTACTAAGTGCTTGCAGATATTAGCAATGTAATTGACAGATTAACCTGAAAACATTTGTTGTCTGCTTATTGCTTTTTCAATTTTGAAGTTAGAATTATAAAATTAACATCTATATACTGCTAGTACTATTAAGATTTCATATTAAGCTACATACTTTTAAAAAATTTTAATTATTTAGATTGCTAATATTCAGGCTTTAAATCATTCATGAACATGATAAATAATGTAGCATATTTAGCATCAAAGAATTCTGTCTTCTTTCGGTTGGAATAAATCTTCATAGTGTCTGGAAAACAGTCTGCCCTGAGCTACAAAGTAATGAATAACTTAACAATGGTTAAGAAGTAGCAAGTAAAATGATTCAATTCTGTTTCAACTATTTTATTTGCTTACAATTTTGTGGGTCAGCCATTTGGGTCAGTTTAGCTGGGTGGTTCTTCTGTTGGTCTTAGAAGACAGTCATCTTTCAGGTGACCACAGTCATCTGTTGGCTTGACAGGGACTGGATGATCTCTCTAGGATGGCCTTACTCGTGTCTGTAAGTTGTTTTAGCTGCTGACGGGGTCACATAACCCCATCAAGCAAATCTGGGCTTTTTATGTGGTAGTAGTAGCAGCCTTCCAAAAGGGTGAGACAGAAATTCTGGTGGTGTAGTGCCTAAGGCTGTTAACCAGAAGGCTGACAGTTCAAACCCACCAGCCACTCCTCAGAAGAAAGGTTGGACAATCTATTTCCATAATGACACTGCCTCAGAAACCAAGGAGGGGTCGCAATGAGTTGGATCCGACGATGGCAGTGTGTTTGGTTTGGTTGGTCCTAAGATCTAGACTCAGAATTTGAACAGTTTCACTTCTGCCATACTCTGTTAAAAGCAAGTCACAGTCCAGTCCAGATTGAAGGATTGTGGAAATAGATTTCACCACATGGTGGGAGGAGCAACACAATCTATTACAAAGGGTTCTGTGTGCAGGGATGGAAGAAATTATTGTGATCATCTTTGCAAATAATCTACTAGATAATGTAATAATTAAAATTCAAATTAAGTTAGAATATTGAATTTAGGAAGTTGGAAGTCAGTGATGATTTTGATAAGGACTGTTTCAGTGGCCTGTTAATTTTCAACCATACATAACCTTTGACATGCAGCCTTTCACCATCCCTTTTAGGCTCATTCTAGTTTATGAATCAGAGCAATGATTTTCCAGTGGCCAACTCCTTTAAATAAATTTTTGTAACATTTTCAGTTCATCATAGATCTAGAGTCTTCCTATTTGGGAATTATAATTTGTTTGTTCGTTTACCTAAAAGAAAGCATTAAACTAATTTAACAAATATTTACATGTATGCTTACATGTATGTGCTAAGCACTATGGGTAAAGAAATGTGTGTATATATACGTATATATAAATGTACACACACATATATATGTGTGTGTATATATACACATACTAATAAGATAATAAATTAATGGAATTAGTTATAATTCATAATGAAGACCAAAGAAAAATTGATGCCTTTGAATTATGGTGTTAGTGAAGAGTATTAAATATACCATGGACTGCCAGAAGAACAAACAAATCTGTCTTGGAAGAAGCACAGCTGGAGTGTTGCTTCAAAGCGAGGATGTTGAGACTTCATCTCATGTCCTTTGGACATGTTATCAGAAGGGACCAGTCCCCGGAGAAGGACATCATACTTGGTGAAGTAGAGGGTCAGCAAAGAAAGAATGCCCTCAATGAAATGAATCGACACATTGGCTGCAACAATGGGCTAAAACATAGCAACGATTGCAAGGGTGGCACAGGACTGGGCAGTGATTTTTTCTGTTGTACAAAGGGTCACAGTGAGTTGGAACTGACTGACAGCACCTAACAGCAATAACAAAGTTGTAATTCATGGCAATAATGTAGACATTGTCATATGTTTTAGGATAAGAGAAGATAACTCATTGCTGGCTAGAGTAGTTTACAGAATCATAATGGAAAAGAGACATTGTATAAGCATTGAAGGATGGATAGCAGGAGGGAGGAAGGCAGGCATACAAAGAATGATGTGTGTAATAAAAAGCGTTGGGTAGAAAAGTGCAAGGCATACATCTGTCAATGAAGCAGAGGCCTTCGAATCTATGGTAGTTCATTTGTAACGATATGGATGTAAAATGAAAAGGTAGGTCTGGGTCACATGGTGGAAGCCTTAAGTGCAATACTGCAAAGTTTGAATTTTATTTCATAGACAGTATAAAGCTACTGAAGGTTTTTAAGTTGGAGAATGACATGAGTAATGTTTTCCAAATGTTCATCTTGATAGTCCTATGCAGTATTGATTGATTAAGTGGAAATCAATGATGTGTTACAGGCTTGAGCTAATATAGCAATTTAAATGGAAAAGAAAAACAACAAATATAAAAATAGATGTAGGAGACATAAGAATATATTAATCAGCAGAAATAGCTGATTCACTGGATTGAAGAGTACTATTTTTGGGTAAGGTGAGAAACTAAATGATAGAAATAAAAGTTAAAAAAAAAGGAAGATGTCTTTATAGTAGAAAAGGGGCTTCCAGGGCTCATATGACTTGATCCAACGTTTGAAGAGGTATTTCTTTTCTAACTTATACAGCACGTCCAGGCTTAAGGGAGTGGGAGAGAGATGAAGCAGTAACCAGAACAGTTCCTCCTTTCCCAGCATGTCCTACACCTATCAACTGGAGTTGCTCAACACTTATCAGTTTTGAAGCAGTGGAAAATGTTTGTAATAGCCCCTGAGGGGAATATGGGAATAACTAAGAGATGAATAAATTAAGGATTGTCAAGAGCTGAATAAAAGATTGCTAAGAGTAATAGTAGTAGTAGGAGAAGAAGAAAACAAAAATCCTCACAACTGGACCAATAAGTAACATCACAGTAAATGGAGAAAAGATTGAAGTGTCAAAGATTTCATTTTACTTGGATCCACAGTCAACACCCATGGAAGCAGCTGGCAAGAAATAAGATGTCACAGTACACTGGGAAAATCTGGTGCAAAAGATCTCTTTAAAGTGCTGAAGAGCAAAGATGTCGCTTTGAAGAGTAAGGTGTGTCTAACCTAAGCCATGGTATTATCAGTCACCTGATATGCATGTGAAAGCTGGACAGTGAATAAGGAATACTAAAGAAGAATTAATGCCTTTGAATTGTGGCATTGGTGAAGAATACTGAAAACACCGTGACCAGAAGAACGAACAGATCCATGTTGGAAGAAGTGCACCCACAATGCTCCTTAGAAGCCATATGGCCAAAGTTCATGTCTCTTAGTTTGCTCATGTTGTCAGATGGGGCCATTCCCTGGAGAAGGATATCATGCTTGAAAATGGGGAAAACCTTCAACAAGATGGATTGACACAGTGGCTGCGGGAATGGGCTCAAACATAGCAAGGATTGTGAGGATGGCGCAGGACCAGGCAGTGTTTCCTTCTGTTCTACTTAGGGTCACTGAGTCAGAGCTGATTCACCAACCCATAACAACAACAAGACTAAGAGTGTGTTAAAGATGGGAAAAGTGGTAAGGGGCAAAAAGAGAGTTGGGAAAGAAGCAGCATAGCTGGGTAGAAGTGTTAATGGTTTGG